CTTGAGTCTCTGACACAAAGCCTACTGTAGAGCACTGACCCGGACGTTCGTCCGTCGTCCGTCGCCCTTGAATCAGCTACTCTTGAATCAGCTATACATGATACACCAGGCGCTGCGGTCTAGCCGCCAGGTGTACATCGTATCCCCAGTCTTCAGCGGGCTCGACTCCGAGTGCCTGGTCGCCTCTTAGCGTTTAGATGGGAAGGGATTATATACCTCTTTGAGCCAAGCGTGGGCGGGGATCCAGCGGGTAACAAGGGTTAGGTTAGGCTTTGCGTATACGCGAGGGGCTGTCGGCGAGGATTTGCACCGGCGGCCCTATGTAACGAGGTCTCTACGGGGATACCAAAAATGTGTAGCTACTTGCCATGCGACGGTCACATTGCAATGGCGAGGGAAGGCAGCGATGTTTCACGCCTTGAAGTGATCCTGATGGCAGCAGATCTACTTGTTATTGAACGATGGTAGAAGCGTCCGTAGCCCATCTGATGTACTGGATGAACAGCATTCTTTGGACATGTGCCATTTTGAACTGGGTTCCTGGAAAGATCCGACAAAGAATCTGAGTAAATGCCGACTTCCGATTCAGCCAGGAATAACGAAAGGCGGTACTCCATGAGAAATGGTAGATAGAAGGGGCTTCATAGCCACACAGTATGATGACCACCATCTTGTCGAACGGCTCGTTAACTCAATGGATATCTGGCTCAACTCCATTTGGACGGTGAACGACAGACGGGTCGCTCGACGACAGAAGACCTATGTCAACATGCCAAGGGACTTGAGACCGTCCGTGGCGAATGGTGCTGCGCCTTGCTGCTCCAATTGGTTGTTTCCAAAGCCGTGGGAACCTGTAGTGACCACGGACATGCACCTCAGTCACGGTGTTTGACTTTGGACCCTTGCCCAGAGAGCTCAGCTGTGGTCTGGCATATCTTACTCGGCCGGGACGGGAGGCAACGTGTTTTTGACTAGGGGTTGTTCGACTGTGGACTGACGACTGACTACCAAACCTTATTTTGATGCGAGATGTCCCTGGAATAGCGTGAATGGCCAGGGCTAGGGGTGATTTGGTGGGTCTCTCCCCTCTGAAGGTTGATGAACCTCCAGTATGCCTGCAATGAATCTCCGTGCACTGCTTTCCGTTAGCCTTTGAATAGAATCTTCTCTGTATCCACGCGTTTCTGTCACAATGAGGCGGGTCATGCTTCTGGCGCGCCTGCTGTTTTAATATGGAGGACGACCTATTTGTAGTTAGTCTTAAACTCAATGTCTGATACGGTCGTCTGAGAAACTGCAGAGCAATGCGAATAATGCTCGGCCAAGGTATAATGGCATTCGAGCGCGCACATCGTCACGGCCACCGTCAAAGCCTCCGGCTCGGGTCATGATGTGAAGTAGTCGATTGGATCTATGTTCCTTCGCCTGGTTTGCACGTCACTATGTCAACCTAGTTAATTCACTCACTTGACATGCGGCACAATGCTTTCGTGGCTTATGTATGAACGCCCTGGCTACAACGGGCGGCGGCTGGGCGGCTGGGAAGCCGGCCGGTGCCCCCCCGGCATCTGGGATTTGTTGGCGTTAAATTCTTGCTTCGGGCTTCAACGTCTTTGGTGGTGGCGCTACTCGGCCTGCTTCACCGATAAGGGGTTTTCCCGCCGATTAGGCAGCCTCGAAATGTCTTTTGGAGATTTGGCGAACGCTAATTCGACATGGGTCCTTTCGGCATTTTTTTTTGGGCGAAAGTGGTTATCATATAAATGCTGCAAAATCCTGCCCCTGGAGGCGCCGAAAGGAGCAAAGAAAAGCATGTCAATGCGACTGAGGCATGACTCTGAGAAATAGCAGCCTGGTCAGTTGGCTGTTGACTCGGAGGGTGGCTAGATGTAAGGCCGTAATTCCATCGTGTTGCATCGCTCTTATGTCTGGTGTTACCAGTCTGGTGCACGGACGATGATGGCAGACCAATGAAACTATCACCTGTACCAGGACATCACCTGTTTGGTAAGCATGGGATGAGAGGCGAGACCGAAAGAGACCGAGCGGGACCAAGGAGCAAGAGATAAGAGATATGGAAGCCAAACATATTGGAGGAGCTCAGCCACTCGGGAATCGAGCAGCCTTCATAGTAAAGCCGATCATCTTGCCTTTCGATTGTCAACCCGATCCCGCTATTGTGGGCCGGAATTCTTCAATATAATGAGCGGTAAGACTGAGACAAAAAGAGCTACCCGAACGTCATCGCTGAAGGAGCTCGACACAACAATGAGCAGGTGACAATGACTAAGCTGGGCTTGAAGGTCTGAGCTTACAGACGCTGAAAGCGAGTAGGGCAACAGTCATCACAGAGGCCTGCTCCAAAAGCGCGATCATCCAGCTGCAGGGGATGTCGAGCAAGCCTCTGACTCAAATCAGGCTGAGCAGAACCAAGGACATGCATGATCCGAAGACAAGGACTACAATGAATACCAGGCAAATTTTGACAGCATTCGTACTCAAAATGGAGCTTGGGCGCCGACAGGAGATACTTGACTGATACGGATATCCACAAGCTGAGGCGGATGCTCAGGCTGTAGAAGTTGGCATACTGATCGGAGATGACAGATCGATTTGTTCCATGCCCTGTTGACAGAGGCGGATCATGCGGCATCGAGCTCTGGCGTCTTGTGTCGCAGATGCGTGACGAACTCCAGAAGGCCTCCAAACAGAGCCTGTGCAGGACCATGGAAATAGAAAATACAGTAGCAGCCTCATGGCCAGAGCTTGTGGCCTGAAAGAGATGTATCCCGCCAGCTGTGATGCTCCATAGATCAGCCTTTTGCGGGACATCCAATTAAATTCTTGGTCCCGCTCCCCCATCTGGCACGAAGTGGCAGCACATTAATAAAGGGAACTTTTGTTTTGCTTCTCTGCGTTTCAACACCCTCGCCATTCAGTCTTGCCCTAGTTAGGGGCTTCTGATGCATCGAGCATATAAAACCTTGCTGCGGTTTGCGCATGAGCCTTGGGCTATGAAAATGAGGGTGCGAATCGAGTGGTATCATGATCGTTCCATCGGTCGTGGCCACCTCTGTTTATATCGTAGTTCCGAGCGCTACTGATGTCGTGCTCCATTTCGTGGCAGAGTATAGCTTGTTGAAGCGTTCCAATGGCCTTTCGTCTCCTCCGACACGTCGCATATTGGCGGCAACTTTGTGCTCTTATAGATTATTGACCACATGGCCATAAACGGCATTCATCAAGCGCCGTAGGCAAACTGCAACCAGTGTATTCCTCGCGCCGTCAGAAACAAAAAAAAAGATGATATGTACACACGCCTCGCTCTAGCTGTATACACGGCTCATTTTCGTAGCCATCCTCAGCTCCGAGCCATCCTCAGCTCCACGTCATTCTCTTCCGTGCGAGCACGGGCGCCTGTCTCTTGCTCATCTCGTCACTACACCCGAGTCTCTCCACGACACACGTCTCTGACAGACATTACGGAGGGGCGCGCGAGCGCACAGTCGGCCCATTACACATGTCAGACTCTCTTTTAAGACCCTCCAGCCG